AGTTGAATCTGTATGTAAGTCAGAACTGGCGGTCAGTTTCAGCAGCGGCTGAATCTGGATGCCAGTTCCGACTTACATACAGATTCAACTTAAGAACAAACCTACAGTCCCTATCTTGTACGTAACCCAGGGACTGCCTGTATTTACTAGTAGCACCTTAAAGAGTAACAAAACATGTAGATTGTATCATGAGCTTTTGTGGGCACAACTCACTTCTTCAGATGACAGAACTGGGCTGTGCCTACGAAAGCTCATGATACCATCTACATGTTTTGTTAGTATTTAAAAAGCTACCTGACTATTTGTTGTTTTTTAAGTTTATCCTGTACAGACTAACTCAGCTACCCCTCTGAAGCTTTTGTTTTCTGAATGTTACAGACTACGATTCTTTCAGCACTTAATCTTTTTTAAATGCCATATCCAGGGAGACATGTTAGTTGAATACCTTCCCTCTGCTGTTGAAGAGGATGATTTTTTCCGACTGCATTTTGAAATTCTGCTGTAGCTCTTTAGGTCTGGTCCCTAGGGAGTTGCCCATTTATTCACAGCTTTGAAATGTTTCCATCTTTATTCCATCTAGTGCACTGTTCCCCATTGTGTTATTTCCACTGAGCTTTTGGGTCAGATTCTCAGATGGTGAAGTCAGTGGAGCAATGCCAACTTATGCCTTATCCTCATGTATCTGAAGACAAAGAAACAGATAATCTTTTACCCATTTTTTTGATTGCGTCTACATTGTGCACTTAAATAGCTTCTGCATTTCATCAGGTGGAAACAGTGCTATCTGTGGAAGATAAGAGGGTTTCTCTCTCATCGAGGCAAATCCTTAGCCTGTACAAAAAAAGCATATGCCCATTGATTTCACTGGAGCCATACCCACCAATTTCAGAATCTGGCCCACCCGTTTCTGTGTAAATCCTCTTGATCTGCAGAACTGTAAGGCAGATCAGAATCAGTTACTATGGCTGAGATTTGAAAAACAGCTTGAGGAATCTGGAATCCAATTTCCAATTTAAAATGTATAGGATCTGTGTATCCAAATCCCTTAGGCTCCTGGAAAATCTCAGCCTGCAGGTTTAGGAGAAAATGCTGATCTCAGAGCAGAAGATTTCAGTGGAGTGACCTTTCCACATACACATACATGTCAATTGGCAAGAGTATCATCACATTTGAGAAAGAATGAGTAGTCCTGTAGCTCTTTAGAGACTCTCTCTCTCTCTATATATATATATGTGTATATAGTATCATAAGCTTTTGTGGGCAAAATCTACTTCCTCAGATGAGCAGAATGAAGATTCATTGTTTGATTCTGGGTCTACAGTCTGTATTTGTTCATTCTGCTCTAGTCCATTATGAGTTTCTAAATATTGAGCAAAGCCACTAAATATTGAGATCCATGGGGGCTGAGTATGAAAGAGGACGGGTATGTCATTGTCAAGATCCACACTCCAGGTTCGACAGCAGAATTTTGCGATAGACCTCATCAACGTGGCTAGAGCATTGGAGCATTTCAGTATAGCAACCTTAGATTTGTATAGTCATTAGATAATATGTAAATTATTTAGTGAAAGTTGTGTGCTGATAACTTTTAACATTTAAAAACTGCTGTACCAGCAAAGCATCAATGGAGTTATTGTAACATCCTGATGAATTTGTGTTTTTCTTTATAATATTAATATTGTGCATTTTTCTTTTCTATTTTCTGTTACGTAATTTGTTTCAATGCCTCTGAAGTTTACAGGAGCCTAGACAGTCTGAATAACTATTCAGACACCTATGTAGCTTTCTTTAATGTCTCTTACATTCTGTATTTCTTCTGCCAGACAGGCTGCTGCTCCATTTCTTTTAAGCCTTTAGTTTGAAATTTCAGCACTTTGTGAACCTCTTCATTTGTCTTCCACCTCAGTCTCATGCTGCTGAGCACTTAATTAGCTGGAGATAGGTTAAATGAGTATAACAGATATGAAGAGTGATAGAAATGTAGCCGTGTTAGTCTGGGGTAGCTGAAGCAAAATGCAGGACAATGTAGCACTTTAAAGACTAACAAGATGGTTTATTAGATGATGAGCTTTCGTGGGCCAGACCCACTTCCTCAGATCAAATAGTGGAAGAAAGTAGTCACAACCATATATACCAAAGGATACAATTAAAAAAAAAAAAAAAAGAACACATATGAAAAGGACAAATCACATTTCAGAACAGTCTAATAAACCATCTTGTTAGTCTTTAAAGTGCTACATTGTCCTGCATTTTGCTTCAGATATGAAGAGGGCAGCTAAATTGAGTGATTAAGGATAGGATGAGGTAATGTGGCAATTGGCATTATTTGAGACATGTTTTGCTCTGTTTCACTGACCCTGACTGTATTGTCAACCATTATAGGTACTTTAAATGCACTTTCAATTATTAGCTTGGTCCGGTGTATTTCTTATAAAAGTGATCTGTAAATGTAAATAGGCTGTACTATCAGAGAGCTCTGAAATGCAGGGAAGGCTGTATGCAGAATTTAATAAAGCATTTCACTATGGATGGTCCATGTTAAACGCACCTAGATGAAGACAAAAACTGAAGAGTGTGGTAAAATGTGGTCTCTGCAGTGTTTATATTATATCTACTTATTCTCACTCCCCTTTCTTTCCTTCAGCTTTCTTTGGGAAGTACCTTAATGAATATAACGGTTCCTATGTGCCTCCAGGCTGGAAAGAATGGGTTGGATTACTTAAAAACTCTCGCTTTTACAACTACACACTCTGTAGAAATGGCGTGAAGGAGAAGCATGGATTTGACTACTCTAGGGTAAGTTCTGTTGGTTTAGTTTGATTTTTTCCCCCCTTTGGACATGAATGTAAGCTGAATACAAACACGTTAGAGATTCAGCCTGTACAACTTCCTAATGTTATTGTGAGGATACTCTACCTTGCTACAGCTCACTAAAATCTCACTAGTACAGGCCCCTCCACTACCCTTTCTCTTCTCATGCTGCATAATGCCCACTAAGAAGGTGAATGTTTATTTGAGCAAGATGCATGCATTTGTCAAAGCAGCCAGCTTGTGTGATTTCCTAAAATGGGTTGTAGAATCTGATTTATGGCTGTAAATAATTTATTGGTAAACTGCTTTAGTTGGAAAAACTGGAACCTGAGGAAAATAGTCCAAGAGTATAAGGGGTGTTGTCTGAAGGAGGGTGAAAAAGCAAATAGCTTCAAAGTACCATCATGTAGTTCAGGATTTATAAATAAAAAATTATAATTATAGATAACTATAACTATACTTAATTCTCACTGTAACATCATAATCATTCGTAAGACAAATTTCATAGAATCATAGGACTGGAAGGGACCTCGAGAGGTCATCGAGGCCAGCCCCCCGCCCTCAAGGCAGGACTAAGCTCCGTCTACACCATCCCTGACAGATGTCTATCTAACCTGTTCTTAAATATCTCCAGAGAGGGAGATTCCACCACCTCCCTTGGCAATTTATTCCAATATTTGACCACCCTGACAGTTAGGAATTTTTTCCTAATGTCCAATCTAAACCTCCCCTGCTGCACTTTAAGCCCATTACTCCTTGTCCTGTCCTCAGAAACCAAGAGGAACAAATTTTCTCCTTCCTCCTTGTGACACCCTTTTAGATATTTGAAAACCGCTATCATGTCCCCCCTTAATCTTCTTTTTTCCAAACTAAACAAGCCCAGTTCATGAAGCCTGGCTTCATAGGTCATGTTCTCTAGACCTTTAATCATTCTTGTCGCTCTTCTCTGTACCCTTTCCAATTTCTCCACATCTTTCTTGAAGAAATTTAATCTAATTTGCATTAGAGGGATTCAGTTCTAATTCCCTTCCCCTTTTAAAATACACATACTTGCCTATATGCTTTTATTTTCTGGATGGTCTGTACACAGAACATTTTTCTTAAAGAAACTGAAAGGTAGATGTTTGTTTGTTTTAGTTTAATGGGTTTTGTGTCGGGAGTTGAACCTTAATAGGTTTCTTGGGTTTCTGTGTTATAAGGTGATAAAGGGAAAGGACAACTGCTTAACAAAATTATGTTCTCTTTCTCCTTTAATCTGTAAAAGACTGGCATGCTCATCTTAACAGCCAAATTATTGGAAATGTGGTGTTAGAACATTTTTCAGTGGAATAACATGACAACAGTAATTTTACTGGTCATTGTTCCCTGTTGCACCAAAGGGAGCTAAGGAGGGAATTCACACTCTTCAAAACCCTCACTTCTGTTTGGTAGCAAAGTTACTTTTAAAATACTCATATTTTCATTTTGTACAGCTCTTTATATGTAAGCTGTATGCACATCTAACAGAATTCCTTTTTCACAAATTCCTGGGTGAAAATAAATGTTCCATAGGACCATCACATTCTTGCATATAGATTACAACTGTAATTCATCACCAGTAGTGTAAAAAGCAACATGTATTAATGGTAACATTTGGAATTCAGTGATGGATCTATCAATAGTTGAAACATGCTATGGTATGTTTCCTTCCTGCCTTTTATGTTTTTCTTTTAATAACTAAATTGTCCACTAAGGGATAAGTTGAAGTAACGTGACTTCAGAGAGATTGTTTTAATGGCCCTTCCACATCATTAAACTAATACAATTTTTGTTACCAACGTCTCTGCCCCACTGGCACACAAGTAAGTAAAACCAATTGATGCTTATATGAGCTATTGACCTCTTAGTTGTACGAACAAAGGGTGCGTCTAGATGTCTACACTGGCCTCTTGAATTTGCGCAAGAGCACTGACGTTCTAATGTAAGAATTAAGTGCTTCTTGCGCAAATACTTTGACGATCCCGCTCAGGGATAAGCCCCCTTGCACAAGAATACTTGCACAAGAGGGCCAGTGTAGACAGGCACCTTAATTTTTTGTGCAAGAAAGCCCAATGGCTAAAATGGCCATCGGAGCTTTTTTGCGCAAAAGCGCGTCTATACTGGGCACGGATGCTTTTGTGCAAAAGCACTTTTTGCGCAAAAGCATCCGTGCCAATCTAGACACTCTTTTGCGGAAATACTTTTAACGGAAAAACTTTTCCATTAAAAGTATTTCCGCAAAATCATGCCACTCTAGACGCAGCCAAAATGTTTGTGATCAGAATTTAATACAAAGTTCATGTTAAAGGGTAACTGTGAGGTTAAGAATTATATTTTTAAAACCTAGATATCCTTATTAAAATACTATAAAGAAAATTAAAGAAAAAATCCCATTTTAATATTTGCTTACATTTAACAACTCTTAATTTTAGACAAGGCCACATTTTTCAGAAGTAAGTAATAGCCATGCTCCCTCTGAAAATCAGGCCTCCTGAAAAAAGTTTGGCTCCTTAAACATTGAGGCAAACAAAATCATTAGTCATTTTTTTAAATCTAAATATTAGCCAGAAACTATAACTAGTCAGTTACACTTTTTTTCTGTCAGTTTCTTATCGGTTTACCTTTGTATGCATTGGCACTATTTTCTGTGTTTAACTTTTTCTAAAAACAGTACATATAATTTTTAAAATCTCTCTTAACTGGAAGCTTAAACAAAAATTAATTCATGGCAGAATACCTATTTGGTCTGAAGCTTTACAAATGCTTATTTTTACAAAATTTTAATTTGAGGGCAATTTTGACCTGTCAAGTTCCCTTGCCCTTTGAAATGGAATGGAAATCCATATTCTCTTACAGGCAAGACCCAAGAATATAATGCAGACAGAAAGATCTTTTGTCTTTCAGCAGGCTTAAAAAATCCATGTATGTTTTAGTTAAATGTGAGAGCATTGTTACTGCAGGGTATTCTCTCAGAATGTTGACCCTTCGCTTTTTATTAGCTATTGAGAAGAGTTTTTCAGATGTAGAGTCAGATCATCATCTGGCAGGCCTCCATTGTTTTTGGTGGCATTATACTTATCGGCACAAGATTTCCTAATTGAAATGAGTTGGTGTGTCTGCTTTGTCCACTGTAGACAGTTACTCATATCACAAATATACCACATAATTCAGAACAGATGGCAGACTTGGATAGGTAAACCTAAGACTGGAATAGGAGGAGTGCTTCAAGTCAAGACTGATACACAAACATGTAAATTGGAGACTGCTCAGGCTGGTGCTGGGAAAGGCAAAAGCAACTGTGCTAAGTTTGAACACGGAAATCAAGTGTGAGGGGCCCCATTTGAGTAATGAAAACTGACTTTCTCTTGCACCTGTGTGTCAGGGGTGAAGAAGCTTGAGAGAAAGCACTGACTGGACTGGACTTGATTTGTTATATTAATAGAGTAGTTAAATCTCCAGGACTGTTATTCTGGTGTTTTTGCATTACCTTTACCCCTAGAAAAGGGAGGTGCACAGGGAAGAAAAGGCTGATGAAAGAAAGCTGTGCTTGAAGGGAGAACCAAGGAGGCATTCCATCCTCTGTAATGTGAACCATACTCAGTACTTGGTAATTCGACAAAAGCAAGATACTGCATGTGGTTTTACTTTGGGTTTTGGAGGTGAAAAGCCAGTCTTTTTTGTGCTTGTGCTGTTCTACAATAAATAATACCATGCTGGTATCTGAAACTTATGTTGGTATGTAAGGGTAAGTCTAGACTACAGGCTTTTGTCGACAGATACTGTTGACAAAGCTTCTGTCGACAAAGAGCGTCTAGACTACATCCAGTTCTGTCGACAAAGCAAGCCACTTTGTCGACATGGCAGTGTAGACGCAAAGGACAGTGTAGACGCAATAACGCCTTCTGTCAACAGAACTCTATCAACAAAAGGTGTTATTCCTTGTAGAATGAGGTTTACAGCCGTCGACAAAACTGCTGAGTTCTGTCGACGTTATGTCGACAGAACTTAGCAGCAGTGTAGACCCAGGTATAGTTTTATCGACAAAAGTCCACTTTTGTCGACAAAACCCTGTAGTCTAAACATACCCTAAGAGTTTTCTTGATATGCAGGGATTGTCATAAGACATTGTCTTCAAGCCTCATCGATCCAGTATCACGCCATATATTTGATACTTTACATGCAAGGATGATCAGTTTGTCTTTTCCAAGAGGACTCTGTTGAGTATTGGGATTTGTTTTTCAATGGATACATCAATTTACCTACCTTTACATTTTTGCACTGCACTCATCATTAACGGTATCTCAGTACCTCTCTTGTATCTGCCATGCTGAGTCAGATTATTAGTCCAACTAGTCCTGTGTCTAGGTGCTAGTATTGGTAATTGCCTGAAGTTTCAGAGAAAGGCATTGCTGCTGACAGATCAGTTAAGACTTTTCAGAGCACTCATTCAGTGGACAATGTTCTCTAAATCCTCTAGCATGTTTTGAAACACTCAACACCAGAACAACACAGTTCTGAAATTATCCATTACCTTTCAAAATCCAGCCATGGTATTTGACTGACCATCTGAATTAGTGAGTTCCACAATTTGGTTGGATACATGTGTGAAGAAGCTTTCTTTTGTGTTCTAAATTAAGCTGAGCTTAATTTCTTGGGTGGGCCTGGTTTTGGTTTGTTTGTTTGTTTGTTTGTTTCGTATGACAGAGGGAGGGAATGATCTGTACTTTCATTTTCTGTACATCATTTCAACAACCTAAACTTAGTCTCTCTCTACTGTTCCTTTCCAGGCTAAATAACCTGGTGTTCCCCAGTCCCTCATGATACCCAAGACTATTTAGGACTCTAAACAGCTGTTGAAATATTTTATTCAGCTCTTTCCTCTTCTTCCAGGATTATCTGACTGACCTGATCACCAATGACAGTATCAGCTTCTTCAGAATCTCAAAGAAGATGTATCCCCATAGGCCAGTATTGATGGTTCTCAGCCACGCTGCTCCTCATGGTCCTGAAGATTCAGCTCCTCAGTATTCACATCTCTTTCCCAACGCTTCACAACACATGTAAGGAAAAATCTCTGTATTTCCAGGCACAAGAGAAGTAGAGCTGGATACACCTGCTGGAAAACATTTTCAGGTCCTTAGACATGCATTTATCTTTGTAAGAGCTAAAGCGTTTGGAATTTTTTATGAATCTGCAGAATACTATAAGGACCTTCAGGGTAGAGACTATATCAGTGAGTCTGAACCACTGATACAGTGGCTCCCTGCAGCCAATGGAAACATGCACATTGCTCAGGCCATAAAAGGGCTATGTCTTGACAGTCTGTGACAGCGAGCGTTCAGTCTCAACCCAAGTTTGCAAAAATAGCTATACAGACTGTGCTTTCGAGTTGCAGCGGGGGCTGGAGCTCAGGTTCTGATACCTAGGGAAGGAGGTGGGCTTCAGAGCACTATCAGCAGCCGCAGGAGCCCACCTCAATTGACCAAGTCCGAGAAGCTTGCCACTGTGGCTGTGTAGATGTACCCCAAGGGGGCGTAAATTTGGCTTCGGTGAGACGACCTGGGAGGTAAGGTGCTATTCTGTGTTATTAAGGTGAATCAGAACGTGTCCCTTAAATTGTAAGCTCTTCAGGGGATGGACTGTACCTTTCTGTGTACATGTGCAGTGCGTAGCATTTTGTGTGGGTTAACATAGTACAATTAATATGTAATGTTTGCTATTATCCCCCTTTGACTTTGATACTGACAGCATCTCAGTTTCCCCATGTGACTTGCCAAAAGTGACACAGGAAGCTTTCGGCAAAGCTGACAAATATTTGAGGTCTTTTGATTTCTAGCCCTGTGCTGTCACTAAAATAAAGCTTTCTCCATGTGTGGTCAGGTAGTGCAATGATTTCAGATTAAAACTAGTTGGGCAGACTTTTGCTTTCAAGGTCGCAGTAATTAATTTAAGCTTTGTGGAGGAAGCAAGGATCAACTCTACAAGGTGATCACCATACAGCAGTTGAGGCCACTTACCTGGGGCCTTGGAACAGACTGTGAAAGATGAGGGAGGGTGTTTTAGTTTCTGGTTATTAGAGAGCTAAGAACTGTATGTACCATTCTGCAGCACTGAGCCACTAAAAAGAATCTGTGTCTCGGATCTGAAGTGACATGGTATTTCATGTTTAATTTGTTTTCCATTCCATGCTAAATTCTTTTCCTTTGAAATGAAAATTACAGAAGGGCAAAATGAGTAGTGTCTGCTATTGCTCATACAGAGTTAACCTCAATCTTTTTAGGAATGCTTATGGAAGACACTTTCATCTCCAAGATGTAATAATTTTCTAAACAGTGTAATTTAATTATGATGGTGCAAAAGAGAGAGGGGTGGAGGGATCTGGAGAAGGAAGGGGATGAAATCTGTGAAACACATCTAAGTATCAGAGGGGTAGCCGTGTTAGTTTGAATCTGCAAGAACAAGGAGAAGTCCTGTGGCACCTTATAGACTTAGATTTATTGGAGCATAAGCTTTCGTGGGCAAAGACCCAATTCGTCAGATTTATTGGAGCATAAGCTTTCGTGGGCAAAGACCCAATTCGTCAGATTTATTGGAGCATAAGCTTTCGTGGGCAAAGACCCAATTCGTCAGATTTATTGGAGCATAAGCTTTCGTGGGCAAAGACCCAATTCGTCAGATTTATTGGAGCATAAGCTTTCGTGGGCAAAGACCCAATTCGTCAGATTTATTGGAGCATAAGCTTTCGTGGGCAAAGACCCAATTCGTCAGATTTATTGGAGCATAAGCTTTCGTGGGCAAAGACCCAATTCGTCAGATTTATTGGAGCATAAGCTTTCGTGGGCAAAGACCCAATTCGTCAGATTTATTGGAGCATAAGCTTTCGTGGGCAAAGACCCAATTCGTCAGATTTATTGGAGCATAAGCTTTCGTGGGCAAAGACCCAATTCGTCAGATTTATTGGAGCATAAGCTTTCGTGGGCAAAGACCCACTTTGTCAGATACATCTGACGAAGTGGGTCTTTGTCCACGAAAGCTCATGCTTCAATAAATCTGTTAGTCTATAACCGCGGTCCCCAACACGGGGACATTTGAATGCGCCCGCCAGGTGCTCAGGGCTGGCCTGGCCCCGGGCACATGGCGCATGGGCGCTTGTGGGGGGGGGGCGCGCTTGGCGGGGGGGAGCGCCGGCCCCGGGCGCGCGGCGCTTATGGGGGAGAGCGCCGGCCCCGGGTGCGCGGCGCTCTGCGGGGAGGGCCCCGCCCCTGGGCACGCACGTGTCCCCGCCCCCTGGCGCCCGGCGGCGAACGGCCACGCCCCCTGGCGCCCGGCAACCTGAAAAGGTTGGGGACCACTGGTCTATAAGGTGCCACAAGACTTCTTGTTGTTCTTACATCTAAGTATGTTTTTTTCTCTTTCACATTGTTTTGGGTTTTTTTCCTTCCACGCCAGTCTAGTTTATTTTCGTGACTAGAAGATCTTTTTTTTAATGGAAATTCCTGCAGGATTTTATATCAGCAGTGAATTTCATTATTACTATCATTAATAATCTCTTAATTTATAGACAATGGTACTTTGCAAGTAATAGTAAAAAAATACATTATCTCATTAAATTAAGAAGTTTTATTTTTCTTTCAGATGTGGCTATTAAGTAGTCTGAATTATATGTATTTATGCAACGAAACAGTTCTTTTTATAGTGCAATATAAAATTTAAGCTGTTGTTAATAAAAAGGAACACAAAAGTATTGCATCCAGAAATGCATCAATAGCTCAGTAGAACTAAACAGCTTTTAATGCATTTACATTTATTAAATGTTTAGATATTTATAGAATATCTGTGCATTGTATTGAGTGAGTATGGCCTGATTTTCAAATAAAACTTAAACATTCAATTGCTTGTCTAGTTGGAGTACACAGTCTCCACAGCTGCATATGCAAATTAGTCATCCTCCCTCTGACCTCCCAAGCTACCTGGGAATTGGGAATCCCTGGGTGGCATAGCCCCATCCTAGCTGTCCCTGTACCATCCCTGGAGCATGGCCAGGGAAAGTTAGAGATATGGCTGGAGCACTGCTATGCAGCTTGGCCAGCCTTGCAGCTGTTTTAAGTTGCAGTGGGGATTGAACTCAGTCCTTATCCAGTCCCAGGGTAAGGAGCAACATAAGGTGGCAGACCCATGCCCTCAGCTTCCTCCTGCAACTATACTGGCTGAAGCTAGAACAGCCATGGAGCTGGTTGTCAGTGTGCAGTCGCAGTCCTGTCTTAATCGAAAATCTGTTCCATAATTTTTCTCCCTAACAAATCACAGAACTACATTAATAGTTTCCCTTTTCATCTCCTAGACTGATAGTTAAACAGGGTGCAACTGCTGGACATTTTCATATTGGACTTTAATGTCATTTCTGTAAAGAATACATGCTTTATCCTGACTGTTTTTCAAGGTCAAATACAATCAGGATTTGTAGAGCAATCAAGGTAGCTTTTCTTTCCCCCTTTTTGAATGAATGTGAGGGGGTTATTTTTGTCCATCTTCCAGGAATGTCGTATCTCATGTATTTGGCCATGAGAGAGAGACAAATCTGTTAAGTGTAAGAGGGTTACATTTGTAGTAATCAAAGAAAATCATGGGCTTCGAGGGGATTAAACAGCAGGAGATTTCAAATGGGCCAGAAAATCACAAAACAAGCTGAAAAGGAGTTCGCCGTTCTGGGCATTACATAGCAACAGTTTCCATAACTGTCAGCATATTCATAGGAGAAATGTCATTATTTCAGCCACAATAATGTTCTGAAATTCAAGAGACTATTAACAATGCACAGAGAATAAACAGAGACACTTCTCCTCCCCAAAGAGAGATGCCTCACTTCCTTGTCCAAGTGCTTTTTTCAGATAGGCTCTCTCATAACATTTTCCATTGAAAACATGTTGCAATCCAATTATTATTTTCATGTTTATTTCAAATGTGAATGAAACTTAAGAGCATTTAGCACCAATGACTTTCAAAGATAATGCTGGGTACATTTCAAGGAACAAATTTTTCAATTTATGTTGCTATTATTTATCCTGAAGATTTAATTTACCCGCTGCTCCATTGTGTGCATAAGAATAGCAGTGGCTTTTGTCAAGATATACATATAATTAACTATAAATTGAATATTGAGATGCAGAAAGTAACTTGAGCAAAGTTGGCAGTTCTTTGCTGTGTCTTATAGGAAAATTCTGACATTGTGCTAAACATTAGCACTGATCTAGTATTTTGAACTTATGGAGAAATCTGCACAAATCTTTCACTTGGGTGAAAAAATATTTGCATTTTTGAACCTAGGCATGGTATGTCCCAAGCCTGCGTACCAGTTAATGCGTAGAAACAATAAAACAGGACCTAAATCTTCAATGGTGACACACAGATAAATAAAGCAATAGGTTCTCTTGAAAATGTGAGATAAACAAGTGCCTGGTACAACGAAGGCATACGTAAAGAGTATCTGTCATATTTTTATATAGCAAAGCAAGCCCATTTTGAGCTTTAGCTCCTGGTTATATGGAGCAATGTGGTTATGAGCAAAAAGGCAAGCTCCAGAACTCCCAAACAAAATGAAATAAAGGACAATCAGTGATGTGCTGCATGATTGTTAACACTGATACTTTAATGGAACTACAGGGTCATTAGGAATTAAAGGAGCACTGCAGCTCAAGGCAGGTCATCAGATCTAGCTCTTGACTCTTTTGGCAGGGCCCTAAAAACTTCCTTTCCATAATGTGCACTCCGAGTATAATTATCTCAGGAGAGGTAAGGCTAGAAAGTACCTAATTCCTACCCCTACCCCTCTGCTTTTTTGGCAGGTCTTTAAAATGCAGCTTTGTATCCACTTCTGCTTGTTATGAGCTCACATGCAATTTAATACCACCAGCTACAGCACCTGTGCTCCCCTGAGTATGAGTGCTACAATATTAACACGGCCAGTCATGCTGAATTCAACACAGTTGTTAAATAATAGAGTGAAATCTTTTCAGCAAGCCAGACAGTTATTATTAAGAGCCCAATCAAGCCATAATAGCCTGTGTCAGAATGCGCAGAATAAACATGGAACAGTTATCTCAGTGGAAACTCAATTGTGCGTGTTCTTGGTTCAAATAATGCTTCCCAATTGTGATGTTAGACTTCGAAGGCTAATCTGCTGGCATTGAAATGTATCCCTCCTAGTCTGGAGGATACTGTTGAAAACAATGTATGTTTACTCTTTCAGTCGGTTTTACTTCCCACAGTTATTTCCATGCCCCCACCTTTCATATAAAACATAACTCAATATTATCTGTGGATCATATATGTAACGTTTTCCTACATGCCACAGAAAGCCATGTGCTGTTGGTCAAATAAAATGTATTAGCATGCGCTAGTTTATTATTCTTTCATACTAATGTGCTCTTCTCTGTTTCCCTGATTGCGCTGTAGCACTCCCAGTTATAACTATGCTCCCAACCCAGACAAGCACTGGATCATGAGGTATACTGGTCCCATGAAACCTATTCACATGGAGTTCACCAACATGCTACAGAGAAAGCGCCTTCAGACACTCATGTCTGTGGATGACTCTATGGAGATGGTAAGATTGTGTTCCTTTATTCAAGCCCAACAGGTACTTGTTTGTTGAGTTAAACTCCAAAATGCTTGTACATTTTTTTTAAAATAGTATATTCCTACTGTGCATACAAGCTCCAACTGCCGTGCTAACCACGCTTCCATGTGCCACTATTTCCGAACTGACAGCTCTCCCAAGATCTCTAGACATTGTTGTTCCAAGTAGGAGCGCTGGAAGGAGGAAAGGGCTTGTGTGGCAGAGGCAGGCTCTGACCAGGAGACACGTGGGTAGCTCCCAGCCACCAGCCCAACTGGTTCCTCAGCCTTGGTCCTTGCCTTCCATGCCCCTGCAGTGGCTGAAGGGGCCATGTGTGACTGACTCTGACCTCTGCAAGAGGGGTACTTCACGCACTGCCTGTCCTGCACACAGGAGGCTCCCATCGGCCAGAAATTGCCAATGAAAGCTGCAAAATTTTGCTCTGGGTGGGGGCAGCGTGCAAAACCTCTCCTCTTCTCCCCCCAGGTCTGCAGCATTCAGAGAGCTGCTCTAAGTGCAGAAAAGGGGCAGGGCAGGCAGGCAGCCTGGCAGAGGCTCTCGTGGGCTAGATCTGGTAGTTTGGAAAGCCGGATCCAACTTGCAGGCTGCATTTTGCCCTCCCCTGGGCTAGAGACCTCACGTGGGAGCTGGGGAAGCCAGGATCCAGGCCCCCTCCTGCAGTGACCTTTTAAATTGTTTGTCCAAAGTGGGACAACTTTTACAGACGACTGAGGGAGCCTCACATGCAGGCTTTTGTGACTCCTATTCTGAGGTACCTGTCTCTCCCTGTTCATTATACAGGGAGCCTAGCTTAGGCTCAGGCTTTGTGAATCCCAGTGATTTTTCTAGTTGCCTAAAAGATAGGCCTGGTAACAGCATTGCCACAGCTAAGTTCCTTTGTGAGCCTTGCCCAGAATGGAACACTAGGTCCAGCATGTGCCATTGGCTCCATATTTTTTAATACATAGGCAAACTTTCTAGATTGTCTGCCAGTAAGATGCCAAACACCTCATTGTGCAACTTCTGTGTCAGTGGGCCTTGAAAAGGAATCTTTGCATCAGTTGGCAGCTCCTGTGGAAAAAGGATGTTTGTTTCAAAGTGCAGAAAAGCTAATCTTGAAGGTACCGTATTTTCCAGCGTATAAGACGACTTTTTATACTAAAAAACATCCCCCCAAAATCGGGGGTCGTCTTATACGCCGGGTATAAACCTACAGGCAGTCCCCGACTTGCAGGTACGAACGGGGCTTTTCTCTGGCAAAGCCTCAAAGGTGCGGCATGCTGAGAAAAGCCGCAGAGGACGCGGGCGGTGGGACCGCGGCGCGTCTCGGCGGTCTGCTGGGGGGAGGGGGGGCGCAGCTAGTGTGCCCCCCCCAGCAGACCAGGCTTTTGTTTTGGACCCTGAGGCAGAGCAGCTGGGGCGCTGCCAGTTGGCCTCTTAAGGGGGGGGTAGTCTTATACGGTGAGTATAGGCGAAAACCTATGTTTTAACTAGAAAATTAGGGGGTCGTCTTATACGCCCAGTCGCCTTATACGCCGGAAAATACGGTACTGCTGTTTACTGCTTCATGTTTTCTGGAAATCTTATCCACAAAAGATAACAGTAAGTAAGGGGAGTCCAAGAAGACAAGGATGAAGTTTATCTGTTAGTAATTTATTATAATAACTTTTGGGGCATAATAACCCAGGAAAATGTGGCTTGTTGCTAACAAATATGCTTTGGTGGGTCGGACACTAGTTTGAGAGAACACACATCACAGAGTCACTTGTTAGCACCAATCTATTTAGGGTCTGCTAGTTAGCAAAGTTATTTCACTCCTAGGCCGTGTCCAGACTCAGGGTTTTTTTCGGGAAAAGTAGCCTTTTCCCGAAAAAACTTCCCCTGCGTCCAGACTCAAGCCGCGTTCTTTCGAAATTATTTCGAAAGAACGCGGCTTTTCTTTCGATGGCGGTAAACCTCGTTTCACGAGGAAGAACGCCTTCTTTCGAAAGTTCCTCTTTCGAAAGAAGGCGTTCTTCAATGTAAAGAGGCCGTCTTCGAAAGAGAGCATCCAGACTCGCTGGGTGCTCTCTTTCGAAAAAGCGGATTTCTCTTTCGAAAGATCCGCCTGCAGTCTAGACGCGATCTTTTGAAAGAGGCTCTTTCGAAAGATGCTTTCGAAAGAGCCTCTTTCGAAAGAAGCCTGCAGTCTAGACATAGCCCTAATGATTTCACTGGGTGTACATTTTCACTCTAGGCTGAAACTTAATCTTTTGTAGTTTTAACCCCTAAATTGGTTATATCTTTTAAGTGAAATTGTAAGTATCCAATATTCCTTAAAATGTCTTTATATTTTGAGTGCATGGCAGATATCAATGACTCTCAGAGGTCACTGGCTATTTAAACAAAGATTGCAATAAAAATGTTTGTCTAAATTTGTCTGTACATGGGTCTGTACTACTTCCTCATGGAACCTCAGAAACATTGACTCTGGCTACATCTCAAAGAGGGAGTCACATTTTATATTTAACATTTTGTCCATTTTATTATGTATTTTACTGGTTTGACTTCATTTATTCTTGATTAAACAGTTTTGACTCCCATCCAGTTTTTCAGGTGTGAGAGCAGGATCAGGTCCATATTGTCTAATCACAGATCTCACGTTACATTACCATAAAGACAATCTATCATGTTGTTAAATCCACCTGAGATGATAGAAACTGATTAAACCCTGAGCATGAAAAAATTATGTGATGACTGATCTTTGTGGCTGTGTATTGATATACAGGCAGTCCCCGGGTTACGTACAAGATAGGGACTGTAGGTTTGTTCTTAAGTTGAATCTGTATGTAAGTCGGAACTGGCGTCCAGATTCAGCCGCTGCATTGACTCTGGCTACATCTCAAAGAGGGAGTCACATTTTATATTTAACATTTTGTCCATTTTATTACGTATTTTACTGGTTTGACTTCATTTATTCTTGATTAAACAGTTTTGACTCCCACCCAGTTTTTCAGGTGTGAGAGCAGGATCAGGTCCATATTGTCTAATCACAGATCTCACGTTACATTACCATAAAGAGAATCTATCATGTTGTTAAATCCACCTGAGATGATAGAAACTGATTAAACCCTGAGCATGAAAAAAATTATGTGATGACTGATCTTTGTGGCTGTGTATTGATATACTTCAATACTCACCTAAAGGGACCCATTTAAACCTTCTCCCCTCCTCCCCAAAAAAATTCCGATTTAAGGTTGAGACACTTGCTATCTGGTAAATTCAGAGTGAAAGGCGGTATCTGCTGTTTAGTTAGGAGAGTCTGCAAACATTCTTTGTAAATGGGACTCACTTGAATGGCACCAAAATGGTCAAATGGCATTTCACCAAGTATTAAATAAGTGTGAAATCCTAAATGGATCTCTTTATTAAGAAAGTTTGCCAAATAAAAATTTAAAGAAGATAAAGGCCTAAAATTCAAAAGAGCTCAGTATGTGTCAGCTTCCATTTAGGAACCTAAATAAATGGGCAGCATGTAAACTTTCCAATGGACAATCTGGGTGCAAAGTACTTTTGAAAACTTTCAATTCAAATTAGATACCAAAATAGGAGCTGAGCTTTTTGAAAGTTTGTCCTTAAATGTGTGGTCACTCTCGTCATTCAGTAAAATATTACTCTATTTCATTTGTAAGTGTTTATAGATTGTTCTTTCAAAGAAAATAGCCTCTATTAATCAGGATGGTTGCTTGATTAGAATGCATGCATGTCTTATTGGAATGTCCTTGTTAAGAATGTCAACACCCTGTTATACAGTATGTATGTGTACACTTGTGCACAGAAGTATTTCAAATGTTATGTGTACTGTGTTATTTAGTGAAAAATATTTCTTTTTTCAGATTTATAATACATTGGTTGAAACAGGTGAACTGGACAATACCTATATAATATATACAGCAGATCATGGCTATCATATTGGGCAGTTTGGACTGGTGAAAGGGAAGTCCATGCCTTATGAGTTTGATATCAGAGTTCCATTTTATGTGCGAGGTCCGAATGTGGAGGCCGGGTCATTGTAAGTCCTTGTTTTTCAGCTCCTGATTTATTGTTTATCATGTTTGATATGTAAAGGAGTGAGAGATCGGTGGCCATGGGCCAAAGGTTTAAAAGCCACAGGCACCGAAGTACAACAGTACAATCAGATTAAAAAAATGTGTTGAGTCTGAGATTGAGACAGAATCTGTGTTTTATTGGTTCATTGAGCTTGATAGTTAGGAGTGTGTCCTTAACTTCCATTGTCTACGCCAGTGAGAACTTTGCGTGACATTAAGCACATCCCTGAGCAATGGATAGGTCAGAAACTTCACAGCCCAGTTTCTGGGGGTGGCATTGTGACTTTAAGGCTAGGTCTCCACATCTGAAGGCATTGCTATGTCAATCAGAGGTGTGAGCCTGACAGATGTGCCCACAAAAGCCCCACCTGTCCATGCAGCTATATCAGTGAAACTACAGGTTGAAACGCTCTTCACCAGGATTCTCTAGTCCAGCAACATCCATGGCGGGTCCAGCATGGATGTTGCAAGACCAGAGAGTCCCTGTGGAGAGCCAGCAGTAAGGATCCCTGCAGGGCCAGCAGGACAGTGGGCTGCCCGCAGGGAGCTGACAGCGGGGCTACCCAGAGCGTGGCAGCGTGGCTGCTCAGTGGGGTTGGGAGACTTGCGGGGCTGCTCATGGAGCCCCAGCGTGTGTGCGGCTGCTCAGGAGGCAACTGCCCTGGGAGCTCCGGCACACATGGCTGTCTGGAACCCCAGCATGTGGTGCATGCTGCTGCCTGGAGCTCCAGCACAGGGCTGCCCGGCAGAGCCATGGCAGCCATGGCTGCCCAGCGTGAGAAGTCAGCAGCTGGGGTAGGGAAGCCGGTGGCAGGGGTCCAAAAATGGTCTTGCAAAATCCCTCATCCAGGGCTAGTGAGGTCCTGAGGGTGCTGGACCAGAGAGGTCCAACCTGTACCAGTATAGCTTATTTGGCTTCGGGGGGAGGGGAAAAAGTGGGGCACAGAAAACTGGGATCAGATATTGCAGAAAAGCATAGAGTTGCTGCTCTAAACTTTGCCCAAACTAGGGGTATGTCTACACTAGCCCCCTAGATCAATCTAGGAAGGCTAATGAGGGCGGGATTTAAACCTGCAATGAGGTTTACCAGCTAATTCGAGTGAGGGCTTTATTTCGGAATCCCGTTTCACTGCCGCTTGTAGACGCGGGCAGTTACTTCAGGCTAGTCAATTTCTAAAATGGCGACCGGCCGGGAACACGCAAATCAAGCGCGGGCTATTTAAATCCTGTGCTTCATTTGCAATTTCGGTCACCCTCATTAGCCTCCCTAGATTGATCTAGGAGGCTAGTGTAGACATACCCTAGAAGTACTTTGCTGGTATACACGATAGTACTTCTAGTATAGACCTGACCTAAGACAAATTTCTGCCTCACAGTTCCTCCCCTGCTTCCTTCTTGCCTTGTGTGGGTAGTCATGTGCTGTTGTCTGTACCAGCAGTGAATTGACTTCTGCACTCATTCAGCTGAACTGGCCTATGAGTGGAGAGATGAAACCAAGATACTACCCATTCCCTGCCTTTACTCATCCACTCCTTGGTTATCTCCTCCATGGCAGATCCAGTAGCCTATTCTAAAATATAATCAGAGTTCTATGAACCCTGGTCCCTTGCTCAGGTGAGCGATCCAAGTCACTGGGTAACCCTTTGGCATTCATCCAGTCCAAATTCTGTGTAATGTTGCACGAAGTGCCTAGTCATTTCTTCTGTTCATTTCAGTAAGATTTTGGGCCATGAAATATGCCAGATAACAATAGAATCATAGAGCTGGAAGAGACCTCAGGAGGTCATCAAGTCCAGCCCCCTGCACAAGGCAGGACTAATCCCAACTAAATGAACACAGCAAGTCAAGCCCAAACTTAAACACCTCTAGGGATGGAGATTCCACCCTCACCCTAGGAAACCCATTCCAGTATTTCACCACCCTCCTAGTTTTTCCTAATATCCAGCCTAGACCTCCCCCACTGTACGTTTATTATGTTCCCTGCCACTGTAGATAGTTATCAGAGATTAATTAAAAGATAGAATAGAATCACTATACTCTCCTCTTTCAGCTTGTAAAGAAAAATGTACATAGTATTTTCCACGTATGACATAAACAAAAAGTTTTCCTTTCTGTATCCTTTGGGATTACATATTTAAACTGTTTGTCAGTGACACACGAGAATGCAGAATATGCCTGTTAATTAAAAAGGTAGCTTTGATCAGCTAAGAAATTATGTAAATATACTTTCTAAGTAATTATTCTAATAGCAAATATTTTCATTTAAGTAATGATTTTGGACAGAGTGCCATCATTTGCTGCCTTTTATTTATATCAGCATGCATGTTTTAGCATAATTACCACATATAAAATCTTCCACCCACAATTTTTTCCTTATACTTACAGAGAAAAAGATGTAAGCAACTAATATTAAGACTGTAAGGGTATGTCTACACTACAAAGTTAATTCGAACTAACGGACATTAGTTTGACTTAACTTTGATAGGCGCTACACAAGCGCTCCGCTAGTTCGAACTTAATTCGAACTAGCAGAGCGCTTAGTTCGAACTAGGTAAACCTCATTCTACGAGGACTAAGCCTAGTTCGAACTTACTAGTTCGAATTAAGGAGTGTGTAGCCCCTTAATTCGAACTAATGGGAGGCTAGCCCTCCCCAGCTTTCCCTAGTGGCCACTCTGGGCACCACCAGGGAAACTCACTCGTATGCCCCCCTCCCGGCCCCGGACCCCTTAAAGGGGCACGGGCTGGCTACGGTGCCCGTGCCAGGTGCAAGCCTGCCAG